GCGCGCGCGGCCGACGCGCGCGATTGGCTCGCGTGGAATGGTCTGACACGGATCGTGCCTCCCCGAGCACGCGCGCAAGAGTGTTTGAATGAATTTGACATGCGGCGCGAGAGGCCCGCTTGACAGAATTCGATGAACATGTCGGAAGCCCGATGGTCTTCTTAAGAGCCCGCAGGGGCGCGAGCGCATGATCTTTTTGAACGCTGATGTTTCAATCGCGTTTTTTGTTTTCGCATGGGTGTTGGTATGCGCGCGCGACGACGCGCGCGTGTGAACTTCGGCTCGTTTTTTGCAAGGGATTCTTGCAACAGCGCGCGCGCAAGGGCGGGCGCGCGATTTCGACGCGCGCGCGAGAGGCCACTTTGGAAGAATTTTACGCGAATGTTCAAAACTCATGGTTTTCTTAAGAATTCGGAAGAACGCGTGCATTTTTTTTGTTTGTTTGTTTTTTTTGTTTCCCCCCCCCCTCGTGTGCATTGCGAAGCCATTTTTTTGTGTGAGGCTCGATTTTAAATTCCCTTCGACGCCGAAGGTTTTTTTCAAGGATTCCGACGTGCGCGCGCGACGGCGCGCGCGTGCACCTCGCTCATTTTTTGTTGCAAGGTATTTTTGAAACAGGGTGGTTTCTGATCCCCGAAAGTGCGCGCAACATTTTTGGCTCCAGGGAATGAAAAAGGGGGGGTGAAACCGGCCTGGCTGGGATGGTATGAGTTCATATCCAAGATGGACGATAGGGCAGAACCATATGTGAATTGCAAGACGGAAGAAAGGCGCATCGTCAACTCTGGGGTAGGAGGGGTGTGGGGGGGCGAATTTATTATCTTTTTAGGAAGGATAATCTATTTGGTGCGATTGATTTTTGCATTTGAGTTGGCAAATCCCAGGCCTTTGCGAACATCCCACCCACTCACCCGTATTTTGGTTTGTAAAACCCATGCGGCGGCGATTGCGATGAGCGCTTGGCGTTGGTTGGTGCATCTCTGCGGCCGCGCAAGCCCGCGCGCGCGTGCTCGCGCACACAGCGGCCAGCTAGTTTGGCGCGACCGACGCCGCCGCGGTGGCGCTGACCGTTGGGCATTGCCCAGCGGTTACTTCAGCGCGAATCGGTGACTTGGGCGGGCGCGGAATCATGGCGACGCCGACAACGGTAGACACGATTATGACAGTAACGATGATGGTGACGATGGTGGTGATGACGACGGCAAGGCCAACGACGGCGCCGTTGTTGATCAGGCCCGCCGATAACGATGACGATGTTCTCGCATCGGCGATGAACGCTTTAGAAACCGTTCGGCATGCGCGCGCGGCCGACGCGCGCAAGTGGCCCGCGTGGTATTATTTGACGGATATCGCCCCCCCCGAGCACGCGCGTAAGGGCGTGCGAATGAGTTCCGCATGCGGCGCGAGAGGCCCGTTTGGAAACATGTGATCAACATGTTGGGAAGCCGGTGGATTTTTTTCGCGCGCGTGTGCACTTCGTCTTGTTTTTGACAAGGGATTCTTGCGACACCGCGCGCGCAAAGGGTGTTCGAACGATTTCGAAACGCGCGCGCGAGAGATCCGTTTTATAGCGTTTATGAACAGGATGAAAAGCTCGGATTGTGCTAAACATTCGGAAGAGCACGGGCGCACACTTGTATCTTGACGCTTTTGGTTGCAGCGCCATTTTTCCCAACCCTCCTTGGTTGGGTATTCGTTTTGAATAGAGCAGTGTGGTCGCGTCCTTCCTCCTCCCGCCTCCCGCCTCTTTCCTGCCTCTTTCTGTCTTGCCTGCGGGGGGCTGTGAAACTGTCGCCAGTTTCGAGGCCTGCTGGGGGGTCCAGCATAGAGGGTAATCGCGGCAGATCCAAATTAGACCTCGCCATTCCTGGGGGGCTGCGATCTGTGAAACTGTCGCCACTTTCGAGGCCTGCTGGGGGGCTCAGCATAGAGGGTAATCGCGGCAGATTCAAATTAGACCTCGCCATCCCTGGGGGGGGGGCTGCGATCTGTGAAACTGTCGCCACTTTCGAGGCCTGCTGGGGGGTCCAGCATAGAGGGTAATCGCGGCAGATCCAAATTAGACCTCGCCCTCCCTGGGGGGCTGCGATCTGTGAAACTGTCGCCACTTTCGAGGCCTGCTGGGGGGCCCAGCACAGTGAGGGCCACGCGCGGATTCAAATTAGACCTCGCCATCCCTGGGGGGCTGCGATCTGCGAAACTGCCGCCATTTTCGAGGCCTGCTGGGGGGCCCAGCACAGTGAGGGCCACGGGCAGATTCAAATGAGACCTCGCCATCCCTGCGGGGCTGCGATCTGTGAACCTGTCGCCACTTTCGAGGCCTGCTGTGATCCCCGTTTTCGAAGTGGCTAGGAGTGCTCAGGAATTGTAAATCATCAGCTTTATCAAGCCCTTTTCCTGTAGCCAGTGTCCTGCGAGTCTCCCGAATTCCGTCTGCAGACATATGTAACCCTCGCTCCGTCATCGCCCCCTTATAAAGTATCCTAAACTATTTGCGCCCCGCTTTTGCGCAGGGGTTGGGTACGTCGCCAGGGTAAATTTCCCAACCCTCCTTGGTTGGGTATTCGTTTTGAATAGAGCAGTGTGGTCGCGTCCTTCCTCCTCCCGCCTCCCGCCTCTTTCCTGCCTCTTTCTGTCTTGCCTGCGGGGGGCTGTGAAACTGTCGCCAGTTTCGAGGCCTGCTGGGGGGTCCAGCATAGAGGGTAATCGCGGCAGATCCAAATTAGACCTCGCCATTCCTGGGGGGCTGCGATCTGTGAAACTGTCGCCACTTTCGAGGCCTGCTGGGGGGCAGCATTCCTCAAATTAGACCTCGCCATCCCTGGGGGGCTGCGATCTGTGAAACTGTCGCCACTTTCGAGGCCTGCTGGGGGGTCAGCATAGAGGGTAATCGCGGCAGATTCAAATTAGACCTCGCCATCCCTGGGGGGCTGCGATCTGTGAAACTGTCGCCACTTTCGAGGCCTGCTGGGGGGCCCAGCACAGAGGGCCACGCGGCGGATCCAAATTAGACCTCGCCATCCCTGGGGGGCTGCGATCTGTGAAACTGTCGCCATTTTCGAGGCCTGCTGGGGGGCCCAGCACAGTGAGGGCCACGGGCAGATTCAAATGAGACCTCGCCGTCCCTGCGGGGCTGCGATCTGTGAACCTGTCGCCACTTTCGAGGCCTGCTGTGATCCCCGTTTTCGAAGTGGCTAGGAGTGCTCAGGAATTGTAAATCATCAGCTTTATCAAGCCCTTTTCCTGTAGCCAGTGTCCTGCGAGTCTCCCGAATTCCGTCTGCAGACATATGTAACCCTCGCTCCGTCATCGCCCCCTTATAAAGTATCCTAAACTATTTGCGCCCCGCTTTTGCGCAGGGGTTGGGTACGTCGCCAGGGTAATTATTTAGTTTTCGTGGCCCTCGACTTTGCAATATTTGCGACGCCGACGGTTTTCCAAGGGTTTCGGCATGCGCGTGCGACGACGTGCGCGTGTGCATTTCGCCCTATTGTTTGCAAGGGTTTTCTTTGACAGCTGGTGAGTTTTGACGAACGAATGCGCGCGCATAGAAGCTTTTTGCAAAGGGTGGTGGTGATGGTGGGGGTCGATAGCGGTTGGGCTGGGGTGACACGAGTTCGTATCTTTGATGGACGACGGGACAGAATCGTATGTAAGTAGCAATGCGAAAAAGGAGGCGGTGAAATCGGGGGGGGGGGATGTAGATAGTATCTTTTAAAGACGGAGAGTCGATGTGGTGCGTAACTTATGCGGTGCGCAAATTATGTGGTGCAATCTATTTAGCGGCGACGAGGCGGTGACGAGGCGGCGACGGCGACTACCTAGCCGCCAGACCGACTCCCAGGCCCAGATGATGGGCGGCGGCGAGGCGGCGACGGGGCGGCGACGGCGATTACCTAGCCGCCAGACCGATTCCAAGGCCCAGACGACGGGCGGCCACGAGGCGGTGACGGGTCGGAGACGGCGACGACACAGCCGCCAATCCGACCCCACGCCCAGTTCTTCTTTCCAGAAGGAAGGGCCCCTAAGCGCAAGGATTGCTTGGTGAGTTACAGGCCGCCTGGGCGACATGGAGGGCTTTCACCCAACACTAGTTTTTCTTTTCCTCCTGTTCTTGGTCTTGTGTTCCTGTTTCACGCCCTCGCCGTTGCACGGCCCCAGCCCCCGCGCAATGGCATGTTAATCAGCAGTATCCTCCTGCTTCTCCTCCTCCGGCTCCTCCTCCGCCTCCTCCCACCGCCTCCTCCACTTCCTCCTCCTCCTCCTCCCCACTCCTCCTCCTCCTCCTCCTCCCTCCTCCTCCTCCATCTCCTCCTCCTCCTCCTCCTCCTCCTCCTCCTCCTCCTCCTCCCCCTCCTCCTCCTCCTCCTCCTCCCCTCCTCCTCCTCCCCTCCTCCTCCCCTCCTCCCTCCTCCTCCTCCTCCTCCTCCTCTCCTCCTCCTCCTCCTCCTCCTCCTCCTCCTCCTCCTCCTCCCTCCCTCCCTGCCTCCCTCCCTCCCTCCCTCCCTCCCTCCCTCCCTCCCTCCTCCTCCCACCTCCTCCCTCCTCCTGCAACGGCTTCCCGTGGGGTTCTCTGTGGGGCGAGGCCTCCAAGGCCCGCGGGCCACGGGCGCGCTGCGGTCTTGCTCCAGGCCCAACCTTGGGCCACTCCCGTGCTTGCTCCTGCAGCGCGATCACTGGCACGATGGTTTCGTGTCGTGTCGACGCGGCGGGTCCGGCGCTGCGGTTTTGCTTCGGGCCCAAGCTTGGGCCACTCCCGCGCATGCTCCTGCAGCGCGATCGCTTGTACGGCAGGTTCGTGTCCTGTCGACGCGGCGGCGACCCCGTTGCGGGCGTTCAAGGCTGAGCGTCGCCGGTGGCCCCGACTCGGCCAGTGTAGAACGAGCTGGCGAACGAAAAGCCGCCGAACTCGAGATGGAGCGACCTGCACGGTGCCAGAAACCGGCGCTCAAGCCGTCAAGGCATGAACCTGCCGCAATCAGAACGCCCTTTGTCCCTCGGAGGCGACCGCCGAGGACCAGGGCTCCACGGACGAGGCGGGCGCCGTGTCGCTGGCGAGAGGGCAGATAGAGGCCATGCCCGCCAGGCTCATTGCGAGGAGGGAGTCGCAGGCCACGCGCCGCCGCTGCCGTCGGCGGGTGTCGTCGCCGTGTCCGTTGTCGCTGCCGCCATCGCCGCCCGCCGCCGCCGCCGCCGCCGCCGCCGCCGCCGCCGCCGCCGCCGCCGCCGTCGTCGTCGTCGTCGTCGTCGTCGTCGTCGTCGTCGTCGTCGTCGTCGTCGTCGTCGTCGTCGTCGTCGTCGTCGTCGTTGTCGTCGCCGTCGTCGTCGTCGTCGTCGTCGTCGTCGTCGTCGTCGTGGTTGACGCCCGAGCGGCATCCTCTGAAAGTCGGTCCCCGGGCTGTGTTTGTGGGGCCACTTCGGCCAGCTCCTCGAGCGGGCCGCCCCTTCGCGGCGGGTCGTGGCCGCTGTCGTGGTCGGCGTCGGGTTTGTCGTCGTCGGCGTCGTCGGCGGCGTCGGCGTCGGCGTCGCCGGCGGTGTCTCAGGCCACGGGCGAGGCGGCCGCCGCGGGGCTCGCCGGGTCCCAGGGCGAGGCGGAGAGTCGAGCGCAGGAGCGGGGAGGGGCGGGGTGCCGTTTTTTTGGGTTTTTTTTTTTGAGGAGTACTAGGAGGAGGAGAAGGAGGAGGAGGGGGAGGAAGAAAAGGCGGAGGAGGAGGAGGAGGAGGAGGAGGAGGAGGAGGAGGAGGAGGAGGAGGCGAACTCCATTACCGTCATCGCCTTTGGAAGAGGAGGAGGCGGAAGAGGAGGAGGAAGAGGAGGAGGAGGAGGAGCAGGAAGAGGACAAGAGGATGATGATGAGGAGGAGGATCGAGGAGGTCATCGATGTTTGCCCTTTTGGTCTTCCCTGGGGCTCCTCGTCGCCACGGTGGATCACCTCGCTCGAGAAGGTTCAGAGGAAGGCGGCCCACACGCGCGCCAGAGCGCCCTCCGACAGTGGTCTGGGGGCCTGACCATCGGATCTGGCTTCCAGACCTCCCAGCGTCTTTCGGGAGCCTTGAGACAGGGGTCAATGCAAACGGGGGTCATCCAGAGCGCCGGATCTTGCAGGATCCTGCAGCGCCAGGGTCGCATTGACCTGGGTTTGGGTGCAGGATCCTGCAGGATCTGGCAGGATCCTTCGCAATGACCCAGGTTTGGGTGCAGGATCTTGCAGGATCTTGCAAGGCCTGACTGGCCCGGGTCTGGATTGACCCGGGTCAGAAGCTCCCCGACGTCTTGACACACATCAGGGCGGAGCGTTCTCGGCACTTTTGGCATCCAGGGGCAGTTGGCGAGTCTTGGGCCCGTCCAGAAACGGTCCAGGAGGCGGGGCCAGCGCTGGGGGAGGGTCGAGAGGATGGGGCGTAAATGCACTTTCAACCGCCCTGGGGGGCAATCTTGCCCTGCTAGTGGCGCAGCGTTGCTCCAATGCCGCTTTGCGCCTGCCTTGAAGGCGCAGGCTGTAGCGGAGGCCACGGCGTCGGTGGAGGCCAAGGCGAGGGAGGAGTTGGATGCCAGGGCGCGGCAGTACAGGTTGAAGCTGTCGAAGGCGCTTGCAGATGCTGGGAGGGAGGCCGACGCAAGGGTCAAGCAGGAGGTCGTTGCCACCGCGAAAGAGTCCCAGAGAGAGGCCGAAAGGGTGGCCGAGGTGGAGGCCAGGGCTGATGCGAAAGCTGCGGCGGAGGCCGCCGAGGCGCAGGCGAAGGCTGTAGCGACGGCCAGGGAGGAAGCAGAGGCCACAGCTCGGGCGTATTCCAGCGCCAAGGAGCGGGAGTACAGGAGGAAGATGGCGAAGGCGCTGGCAGATGCTGCCCAGGAGGCCGACGCCAGGGTGCAGGCGGAAGTCGAGGCCAAGGCGAGAGAGGTGGCCGAGAGGGAGGAAAGGGTGCATTCAGAAGCCGAGGCGGAGCTGGCCGAGGCGCAGGCGAGGGCTGCGTTAAAGGCTAGGGAGGAAGCGGAGGCCAAGGCTGAGGCGGAAGTGGACGCCAAGGAGCGCGAGTACAAGAGGAAGATGACTAAGGCGATGGCCGATGCCGCGGAGGAAGCCGAAGCCAGGGTGCAGGCGGAAGCCATTGCCAAGGCGGAGGCGGAAGCTGAGGCTGCCGAGGCGGAGGCAAAGGCGAATGCTGCGGCAAAAGCCACGGAGGAAGCCGAGGCCAAGGCTCGGGCGGACAAATATGCCAAGGAACAGGAGTATAAGAGGAAGCTGGCGAAGGCGCTGGCAGATGCTGGGCAAGAATCCGACGCCAGGGTGCAGGCGGAAGTCGAGGCAAAGGTAAAGGAGGTGGCCGAGAGGGAGGCCATGGTGCATGCGGAAGCTGAGGCAAAGGAGGCCGAGGCGCAAGCGAGGGCTGTAACAAAGGCGAAGGAGGAAGCGGAGGCGAAGGCTCAAGCGGAAGCGAAGTCCAAGGAACAGGAATATACTAGGAAGCTGTCGAAGGCACTGGCAGATGCCGCTCAGGAAGCCGACGCCAGGGTGCAGGCGGAAGCCGAGGCCAAAGCGAAAGAGGTGGCCGAGAGGGAGGCCATGGTGCATGCGGAAGCTGAGGCGAAGGAGGCCGAGGCGCAGGCGAGGGCTGTAGCAAAGGCGAAGGAGGAAGCGGAGGCGAAGGCTCAGGCGGAAGCGAAGTCCAAGGAACAGGAATATACTAGGAAGCTGTCGAAGGCACTGGCAGATGCCGCGGAGGAAGCCGACGCCAGGGTGAAGTCGGAAGCTGAGGCCAAGGCGAAGGCAGAAGCGGAAGCGGAGCAGGCCGAGGCGGAGGCGAAGGCTTTACATTTGGCGAAGGTGGAGGCCGAGGCCAAGGCTCAAGCGGACAAAGATGCCAAGGAACAGGAGTACAAGAGGAAGCTGGCGAAGGCGCTGGCAGATGCTGGATTGGAGGCCGACGCCAGAGTGAAAGAGGAGATCGAGGCTAAGGTGAAGGAGGAGGCCGAGAGGGACGCCCAGGTGCATGCGGAAGCGCTGGCGGAGGCGGCGGAGGCCGAGGCGAAGGCTGTGGCAAAGGCGAAGGAGGAAGCGGAGGCCAGGGCTCTGGCGGACGCGCACGCCCTGGAGCAGGAGTACAGCACGAAGCTGGCAGAGGCGCTCCCGCATGCCCCGGCGGACGCGCGCTCCTGCTTCCGCGCTCGCACCTGTTTCCGCTCCCACTCCCGCCCGCCAAGAGGCTACAGGAGCGGTGCGCGCCGGAGTCTCGACCCCAGGCGCCTATAGCGCCGTGGCGTATCCACGTCCACCGCCCCGGAGTCGTGCCCGAGGATCCCCCGGGGACCCTGACGGGGACCCTCGGAGGAGTGGCAGATATGGATATCGGCCAGCCCGTGTGGGGCTGACCGTGTCCACGTCTAGCCTTCCTCGGGGATCCCAGGCAAGGGCTCCGACAGCTGCGCACGTGGGGTTGCATCCTGGCGCTGCAGCAGGCCTCCGCTGCACACGCCTCCCGCGTGTGCATTTTTGGTCTCGGCCTCGAGCGCGTGAATCACACTGTGGTTGATGTGGGCGATGGTCTTGGTGATGATGAAGATGATGATCGGGAGCGTGTTCGAGTCATGATGATGTTGCTGCGTGATGATGTTGTCGATGGCGACGGCGATGACGATGATGACGACGCTGAAGATGCTAAGGATGACCACGACGAGGTTGCTGGTGCTGATGTTGATGCTGTTTTGGTTGATCACGATGGTGTTGATGATGATGATGGTGAGGATGATGCTGATGTTCTTGATGCTGGTGATCATGATGAGGATTAGGAGGATGATGATGCATATTAGGTGTGCAGATTGTTGCTGTGATGACATGTAGACGCTGATGAAGCGGATGACGATGATGAGCATGTTGAGTATGATGATGATTCTAAGGATGATGGTGATGATGGTGATGCTGATGATGCTGATGGTGATGATGCTGTTGATGCTGGTGGTGATGATGCGGATTAGGATGATGATGGTGATGCTGATTAAATGTGCTGATTGCTGATATGAGGCAAAATGGGGAGTTGAATAGACACTGATGAAGCTGATCACGATGCTGCATATGATGAGCATGATGCTGATACTTATGATGATGATTGTGCTGCTGCTGCTGCTGATGATGATGGTGGTGGTGATGGTGATGGTGATGGTGATGGTGATGG